AATATATCTTCAACAATACAAAAGTGACAACAAAGAATATAAATAATATAATATAAATATACCAGACAGGAGGGAATAAGCAGTGAGGCTAAAAAGATAAAATCAGGAAAGCAGCAGGACAAGTAAGAGGAAGGATACTTCTCTTATACAGAGTTTGCCACCTGGGTAATGAGATTAAGAGGAGACAAGGAATATAAATTATCAACCTTTATATCTATTTAAAATATACAAAAGGTATAAAATATATCTTCAACAATACAAAAGTGACAACAAAGAATATAAATAATATAATATAAATATACCAGACAGGAGGGAATAAGCAGTGAGGCTAAAAAGATAAAATCAGGAAAGCAGCAGGACAAGTAAGAGGAAGGATACTTCTCTTATACAGAGTTTGCCACCTGATTCTAATAGTTCACAGCCAAAACCAATCTCTTATTAACTCTATAGTTAATACTGTTAAAGGTGTAGATCTTGCAAATGTCCAACAATTATTTTCACTTTTGGCTGTAAGTATTGATCACTTAAGAACAGGCAATTCTTACTATCTTCATGTTAAAATGCTACAGGTAGCCCTCACTTAATGACCATTCATTCAGCAACCATTCAAAGTTATGACAGCACAGAATGAATGGTATTTATGCCCAGTCCTCAAAGTTACAGCCATTAGAGCGCCCCTGAGGTTACATGTAGAAAATTTGGGTGCTTGGCAGCCCACCTGCATTTACTTCAATAATCCTCACCTGTCTATCTCCCCCCATCTCTGCCCTTTTGGCCCCCTGCACTACACAGCCCCTGCTGCCCTGAGCTCCACCACCTCCAGCTGACCTTTGCTGTCTTCTTCCTTCCACTACTGATGAGGCATGCCCGGCCTGGCCCTTCATGAGGCCTTCTTCCTCAGGCTGTGCAAGGTTTCCTCATGAGACCTTGGGAAGAAGGCCTCATGCAGCCAGGTGGGGGAAGTGGAGTGCAGGGTGGCCATGGAGTTGAGGGTGGTGAAGCTGGGGCTTCATGCCGTGGTGCTGGACTGGGCTAGCTGTGGCTTTGTGCTGCTGGGCCAGGCTAGGGCTTTGCACCGTGGTGCTGGGTGGGGAACCACAAAGGGCTAGGCTGGGTGTGCCTCAGCAGCAGCAGGAGGAAGAAGATGGCGAAGGTCAGTTGGGGGCAGCAGGGGTGGCAGAGCACAAAGTGGCTCATACACTCTCCTGCTCCCAGCAGCAGCCACCCCCAGCCTGGCTGCACTTGTGCCAGGCTGTGAGCCACTTACCTGCCCACTGGCCTGCTTGTGAGCCACCCAGAACTCAGGACTTCCTGCCAGCTTCTCCATTGACTATGCTTGTTAGAAGCCAGCAGGAAGTTGCAAGGAGGTCCTCCCTTAGCAACCACAATTCTTGCTTAACAATAGCAGTGGGGATTGCCAGGATTGCTGTTGCTAAGCAGTGCAGACACATGACATTGCGCTTTACAACCGCATCACTTAGTGACAGAAATTCCAGTCCCAATTACTGTCGTTAACCGAGGACTAATTGGTTTTAGTACTGGATTGGATTTCTTGGTCAAAATAAAAAACAACCAAGTTTTGTTCTTAAATTTGTCTCATAAATCTCCTGTCAAGGACTACTCTTACATATCCAAATTTAATCCTCTTGCACATACCATATATCCAACTCTAAATCATTTGGGCAGAGTTGTGGTCATAAAACAAACCATAACAAGATCCAAATTAAATATTGCTGGCTATCAGATTCAACTTACATAAACAAATGCAAACACTAAAAATACTACTTAGAATAAATATGGGGGTCTAGAATACTGCCCAGAACTGCTTTAATCAGAGTCACTGAAATACAGTGTAAACATGCTGACCTCGCAGTGCTTTCAAAATATGTGTAAGCTTTCTCAATTACAAATTATATTAAATTAAATACAAGTTATACAAATTTATTTCAAGAAAAGGAGTAACAAAAAAGCCTCCTTGATCCTAATTTACACAAGTTTAGTCCTCCCTCTGGGAAATAGGACAGGCTCCTACCTGTCTCCCAAGCTGGGGATATTGCGCTGCATTTCAAAACCACTGCAATTCAGCATAGTTCCCAAGATAGGAGAAAGGTAGAATTATGCTAACCAGGGTGACTACTAAAATCTGTGGGCCTCTATCCTTCATCAGTCAAAGAAACTGTAATATATTTTGACCTGAAACTATGTGCTGAGATAGTTAAAATAGAGAGGGAAGCTAAGCCAGGCAAATGCCTTTTTGATGAGAGAAATTTCAACTCTTGTTGAAAACTATGACTAAAAGCACAGGCCTTTGAGTAATTACCTTGTCCTCAATGATAGCTATGATGTCCCCAACAGTTTCAAAGTCAAGTTCTTCCCCAGTGTAGGAAGGCTCTTCCCCTGTGTAGGAAACTGCAATATCCATCTTCTCAGCCAGATCCAGGTCTTCTTTGCCATCCATGTTGTGGTCTTTGGAAGTCCCTACAGCACCAGATGCCCCAGAGCCCAGGCAGTCTTTCTTGATGGAATCAATGATCATGGAAATTTCACTGCTGTCCATTGATACTGTCACAGTGTGAGGATCAGGCACTGCCTCCATGGAAACACAGGTGTTGGGCTGACTCACTGGACAAGAGTGACAAGTCAAGTGAAAGCCTGGCAGCTGCAGCAACCAGCAATGTGGGTCAGATCAAGGTATCAAAAAAGCATTCCACAGCCCCACATAAAGGCACATGCAGGCTGGTACCCCTTTCTCTCCCCTCCCCCCCAAGTTCTGGAATCAAAAGAAGAGCTATCTCTTAGCATCAAAGCCTAGTTCTAGTCCCACTGCAGTACTTTTACCGTAACCCTTTCCTTCATTTGCTCTGACTGAAACCCAGGGAGCTTTTTCTTGACAACCTTGAGCCAATAATTTGCCCCATGATTAGCATGATGCTGTTGAAGTCCAGAAATCAATCAGACTGCTATCAAATTTAGATGCCCACAGCCCACATTCATACATCCCTTCCTCTGAATTAAGGGAAACAGTCTTCTGTTAGGTACTGAGTGGCATATGAGTGCAAGGACGCACCTGTCGCTACACTTTCTGGAGTTGCAGCAGGTGGCACAGCAGGTGGCGCTTGTAGTGCGGGCACCATGACTATGGTGGCCTGAGACACGGACTCTATAGGGGGAGGCAGGAGTTTGGCTGGAGGTTCACTGGTAACAGCAGAAAAGGAAGCAAGCGATGTGGTGAATTGTGCTGGACCAGCTTCTAAAAGGCGGGAAAGAGTAGGAGCACCTAACGAAGTATGAAGAGGGGAAAGGCACATTAGGCTAGAAGCAACAGCTACAGAAGACTACAAAGCAAGCAATTCCTGCACATATCCCACAACAGCTTATGCCACAACACTAACATATGACAACACCTTTTACAAAGTGGATACAGGCAGACACTGGAATTCACCTATTAGAATCCCAAAACGTACGCAAACAAGGATGTAACATGCTTTCAAATGAGTGTTAACACAATTTATATATCACTGAAAAAACAATGCAATCCATGTTCTATACCAAAGGGACCGACTTCAAATTATGAATAACTTTTAGAGTTTAATTTCTGAAGATATGCAAAAGTCACAAGATTTCTAGATGTGCGTTTGTGTTTGGTGGGAGTGGGGGAATACACTCTAGGATGAAAGTGAGAGTTTAGGCCTAAGTCTGATAAGAAAACAGTACGTAATAGGATTCTATGAATCACAAGCAACTGGATAAAATATTTTATTTATGAGATTTGGAGGCTGTCCAACTCCAAAATGATTCTGGACAGATCACAGCAAACCTCCAAGGCCTTGGAAGAGCAGGTAAGTTTTTAAAGACCCCTGGAACATCTTTAGGGTGGGAGCTACACAGTTCTAGGGTGGATATCATTCCAGAGGCCAACACCATAACAAAGAAGGTGTGCTTCCTGGGTCTTGATAAAAGACATGGTTTGACTGAAGGGACTCAAAGTGCACGGACTCTGCCTAATCTCATCAGACAAACAGAAACCGTGGAAGATAGGCAGTCCCTCAGGTAATCTAGCTCTATGCTGTGAACTGCTTTATAGGTGATAAATTACACCTAGAATCTCACTGTCAACCAGTGTAGTTTGCAGAGCAGAGGTGTCAAATGGGCATTGCTGAGGCATGCCCAACATTGTCTGCGGTGGTGCATCCTGGACCAGCTGTAGCTTCCGAGTGGTTTTCAAGGGCAGCCCAACATAGAGCACATTACAATAATCCCAGTATGAGGTGACCAGGGCATGAGTTACCATCTGGAGGGATTCCCAGTCTAGGAACAGGCACAACCAGTACACCAGATGTAACTGGGTAAAGGCCATCTTGATCACAGCTGCCACCTGCTCCTTGAGCATAAGCTGTGATTTCAAGATGACCCCTGGAGGTGCACCAGAAGGCCATTGCCCAAATCTTCTCTTGGATCCCAAGAGGCCTAACATCCTCTCTTTGCATCAACAGAGCATCTGGCTATAAAAACTATTTACTTTCTGATACTTGGGAAAGCAAATTCTGCATCATGCTGAAAGCAATTCAAACCTACAGAGCAAGACACAGCAATGGGATCAAACATCACATGACATTCATGAAGCCTAGATTAAAACTACTGCACTTCTTACAATTATCTGGTCTTCCAAGAACCAAGTCTTTACAGCATTACATTCACAGGCTTTAAGCAGGAGACAAAACAGTGTAAAAGAACCAGTCCTACCTGAAGCAGCAGGGGTCGCAGGAATAGTGGTAGAAGTGGACTGCATTTCCCCACTGTGTAGTACTGGAAGAACTCCTCCCACTTCCAGGAGGAGGCCAGAGCTGCTTGGATGACCAGTAGCAACAGAGAGCTCAGCCTCTGCCACCTGCCAAAACACATTCGTATTCTAAAGACCAACACACAGAACCGTTAACTTTGTGTAAAGAAACAAAGTCCCATCCAAATGCAATATGTTGCCCCACAATAAACCTCTTTAAGGCTGATGCTTTCCTGCCTTTGTAGCAATAAAGAAATGTAAACAATTTCTTTGCAGCATGGTAAAAGTTTATCAAGGAGAGATGCAGGGGGAAACAAAAACAAAACTCCAGTATCTATCCATATCTAAACAATGTTTCTATGTTATATTGGGTTGGATTTAGATATAGTTGTTCTTTAGGGTAGACACCAAAACAAAGGGATCTTAATTAGCTATGATGATGCTAAGTTCCATTGATTTCAGTGGGATTGCTCTAAGTCCTCATTTTCCTGGCACTCTTGCCTAGATTGAACATTTAGTGTAGAGCACTGCATTAGCTCCTGCCCCTACCTGGCACACCAGCTTAAGGCTTACTATGTCATCCAAATGTTCTTTATGGCCTCAGCTAGCAAGAGAACACAGCCATGGTTTGTCGATTACTATATTTCTGGTAGAACCCTGTACCCGGATGACACACTAAGCCCTAAACCAACCAGCAATGGCTATTTAACAGCTGCATCAACTGGGAGGATAGGAACCAGAGTACGCAGGAGGGTGCATTCCTTGTTTACCCATAAACCAGAAAAGTGTGTCATAAAACTGGCTCTAAGCAAGCTACCCTGGATTCAAACCTTTGTTAAAATATTAGGCAACAAAATTTGGCTACAAAAGTTACAAAAGGGAGCAAAGTTGAAGACATTCCTTGCAAACCAGAAGGAGACTTTTCCAATATTTTTTGGGTGACAGATTCAGAGGTACAGGCCCAAAAAGAACAAGTTTCCCCAAAAACAAAACAAAACAAAACAGGGAGACATGGATTAACTAAGATGTAAACAATGAAACAAAAATTAGATATATTATCTGTATAAAAGTACAATGCATCAATATAAAGGGTCAGCACCTACACCCAGTGGAATCCCCCCACATGGCTCACTATACATCTCTCTTTCTCTTGCACCACCTCCCATCTTAACAGAAGTTGCTACTATTGCTATGCTATGCCTTTATTTATTTATTTATTTATTTATTTATTATATTTATATAACTACCCATCTCACGGATTTGTGACTCATATACATTCATCAAAGGAACAAAAGAAAACACAGCTTTTTTGAGCTCTAGGAATATGCTTCCATGTTCAAGGATGTGTTCTAAATATATTAAGTCATCCAACTGAATGCAAACTTTAAGCAGTAAAAATGAAGTAAGGTTTCATATAATTACTGCACTATTTGTACATTTGCCCTAGATCAAGAGATACCATTTTAAGGAATCACACATAATAGCACAGGGAAATTTTCTTTCACTCTATGCATTTTGGTTAGTCCTTTCCCTCATTTCTTTCAAAATATTAATATTTGCAGAATTTATTTAAGAGATTTTTATCCCACCTAGACTGAATACGCTTAAAACATACAGGTAGTCCTCAACTTATGACCATTCATTCAGTGACCAAAGTTATGATGGAGCTGAATGAATGGTGGTTACAACCAGTCCTTGGACTTCCAACTGTCCCAACATCCCTGCAGTCATGATTGCGATCTGGGCACTTAGCAACTGACTCCTTTGATGAACTGGTTGCAGCGCCCTGTGATCACGTGATTGCCATTTGTGCTTCCCTGCTGGGTTCCCCAGAAAGTCAATGGGGAAGCCAGCAGGGAAGGTCATAAGTCGATGGGGTAAGTCTCCCCCAGCTCCTCTGCACTCGCACCATGCCGGCCACTCGTACCCCTGTGCACCCTCCCCAAGCCTCACCATGCCTCTCTCATGAACTCTTCCCAACCCTTGCCATGCCTCCTGCTTACTCTCCCCAAGCTTTGCCGTGCCTCCCTTACACCCTCGCACACTCCCCGAGCCTTGCCACGACTCCCTCACACCCTTGCACACCCCTTGTGCTTTCCCCCACCCAGTAGCAGCCACTTACCTGCCTACCAACCTGCTTGTGAGCTGCCTGGGACTTGCAACTTCCTGCCGGCTTCCCGCTGACTTGGTTGTGGGAAGCCAGCAGGAAGTTGTATCGCCTAACAACTGTGGGATTTGGTTAATGACAGCAACTGGGACAGCAGGGATTGCCGTCACTAAGTGATGCAGTTGCACTTTACGACCTCATTGCTTAGCAACGGAAATTTCAGTCTCCATTGCCATCATAAGTCAAGGACTACCTGTAATTAAAAATAACCTCACATTCAAACATTATTAAAATGGATTAAGGAGTGAAGCATACCCACTACTAATAAATAAATAGCAACTATACCAAAAAAAAGGTAAAGAGGAGGAGGAACAGCCTTCCCCAGATCTGATGTTTTGGAATCGGAACTCATAACTAGCATAACCAATGGCCATAGTGGCTGTGAATTCTGGTGCCAATATGCCTTGAACATACCAGACTGTAGAAGGCTGATGATCAGATCAAGAGCGGTTTTCTCAAGTTTATGGTATCCACATGTGCCAAAGCAAATTTGACTAAATATTATAGATTTATATCCCAATTTTTCTTCAGGAACTCAAGCATTCCCTCCTTCAATTTTTCCCCATAACCACCTAGTGAGTAGAGTGGGTTTAGAGACAGATTGCCTATACCAAATCACCCGTGAGTTTCTTTGGCTAACAATAGCCTTGAATGTTGGTCTCCCCAGTCCAGGTTTGATACATTTGGACTTAAGAAAGGCTGATCATGAACAGTTAATTAAAAACAATTAAAATCCCAACCTGCAAGTGCATATTCATTTTGTAAGAGCTTCAGCCTCATTTAGTTATTTAACGGTAACTGATTAAGCTGATGATCCATGTATTTGAAATTTACAAATCATACAGACTAGAAATTCACTGGTTGAATTTTTTTGAAGCCAATTTCTCTCAATCCTCAGCTATAAAATGGGGAACATAATAACTGTTCCACCATCTAGACTATCGTACACAGGCTGTATTTAAGCAGAGTGTTTCACTGTACCTTCAAAAAGGTACTATGTCGATGCCATGCATCACTTTCACTCCTAAAACTTATCTAAACTATTCCCTTTGAAAAGCTTTGTGCCCTTTATGGTGAAAGTCAGTCACAGAGATTCCCCCAGACTCTTGAACATGTAAGGAGGGGACTCCATACCAGCCTGGGGCTTGTGGGCAGGAGGCTGCCTTTCTTCAGCAGCTCTGAAAGCAGAGGAGAAGGAGGCGGAGTTGCTTTCTGTCCTAGCATCTTTTTCTGGGTTGAATCATCTGTGACTGGGGTCAAGGGGGCATCCAGGGAGGTGGAGCCCATAGGGGTGTCAGGGATCCCAATGAAGGAGGCAACTGGGGTGCTGGGCAATGTCCCTGGAGTTACCTGAGGAAGAGAAAAACCACACTGTTCAAAGCCACATCCTCACCACCTTGACATGTCCCTCTGACTCCTCCCAACAGGGCCAATGTCACAGCCTACCCCAAGCACCTCCTCCATCACTCTAGCTTCCCTTGTCATTCATTTATCTCTACCTATTTTTCCCTATATTAGTCACTGTCACCAAAATGATGTACCTCTCATACATACACACACACACACAAACATATACACATATACATACACACACACACAAACACACGTATATGTATATGTTGTGTGTGTGTGTGTGTGTGTATGTATATGTGTATATGTTTGTGTGTGTGTGTGTATGTATACACACACACACACACACATATACCACACAAAAAAGCAGGAAGTCTGTGAGAGCTGCGGAAAGCTCTGTATAGCCTAATGGCTTTGTGTTCCTGCCAGATCTTACCCCTGGACTTGTCTCTTCCACACTGGGTTGAGACAAGTCTCCCAGAGCATAGTCTGCTCCTGGTGACGCTGACCCTGCTGGAGAACGGACCATCATTCCTGGCATCCTTCGTGGTGGATTTTTAACTGCTTGACGAGCTAGAAAAACGAAGGCAGAGAATTACATTCTAGTTCACACTATTCATATTAAGAAATCCCAGCACAAAATGTAGTGATCCTCAGTTTTTCCATCCCCAAGTCAGCCCAATGGGCATCCTCTTAAATTCCTTTAATTCCTCCTCACGTCATTTATAAGTACAGAACGGGCAGCAAATTCTTCACTACTGGTTCGTTGATAATTTCTTGCTTATAAACATATCAGACAGGTTTTCTTTTCATTTCTTCTACCCTACTTTTTTGATGCAGAACATTATAGCAATCCATTTTGCCTCAGGCTCCTGAATCCAATCTTACAGACAGTATTTTAAAGAGAAGTCTGTGAAATGCCCAGCCTTCAACTTTCCACAGGAAATCTGAAGAGGAAATTTGGATGACCAAATAATCTTACTTTTTTAAACTGCATTTTACTACTTTTAATTTCTATCTAAGAGTTTTAATTCTGAGGACTCTGGTTCAATTGAAAACCCAAAATTCCAACTAACCTTGATAAGCAGCATCTGTAGCTTTCCTCTTCACTTCAGCTTCCTCTTCTTCTACTCTTTTTTTCCTGAAGAAATGCACGGACATTTCAGATCACATGTAGTTATGGGAGCAAAACAGAATGGATGCTCCCCACTCATACAGGTAGTCCTCACTTAATGACAATAATTGGGACCATAGTTTCTGTCACTAAGCGATGCGGTTGTAAACCACAACATCACGTAACTGTGCTGCTTAGCAGTGGCAGTGCTGGCACTTCCAGTTGCTGTCATTAAGTGAATCTCACGTGGTCGCCATTTGTGACCTCCTGCCAGCTTCCCCACTGATTTTGAGCCAGTGGAGAAGGTTGCAAATGGCGATCACATGACCAGATGCTGCAATGTTATAATTGCAAACCAGTTGCTAAGCACCCGGATCGTGATCACACAGCTGTGGGGACGCTGCAACAGCCGCAACTACAAGAACCAGTTGTAAGTACCACTTGTTCAGTGCTGTGTTAATTTTGAACGGTTGCTGAACAAGTGGTCATTAAACAAGGTCTACCTGTGTAAAAGACAAGCATGAAATAAAAACAGTGAGAAACTCCTCCTCATTATTTTAAAAAACAATTTTTAATCAAAACCTCAGAAAGTCAGGTGCAGTTAACAGAACCATTCCTTAGATGATTCATCAAAGTCTACTACAAAGGGCAGGTAGAGTGGCAAGGCATGACATGAATACTGAGATAGAAGCATATGAATATATTGTTTATCTCAGTAATTTTGCTGCATACTTAAATGAAATTCATTTTTGAGGTTCATTTAAAAGTTCAGCTGATCCAAGGGTTCAAGACATGAAGCTTGGGAGTAGAGGAGTTGGGGAGAAAGGGACAGAACAGGGAAATAAGATAACCCACACCACAATGTCATTGTAAAGTTCTTCCAGCCTGTGATCCATATGTCCTGCCTGGATCAGTTCTGCATCTCTCTTCAGCTGCCTGTAAAGAAAATACAGGATACGTATTAGAAATTGTTCTTGAAGAAAACAAGAGTATCACTGACATCCTGACAAATCTGAGACCTACCTGTACTTTTCCTGCGTCTCCTTAATCAACTTCTTAAGCTCCTCCACTCGTTCTGCTGTCAGCTTTCTCACAATAACATCTTCTACAGTTTCTACCACTTCTCCCTTCTCACCACGTTTTCTTCTACACAAAAAAAAGGAGGGGGAGAATCTAGGGACCAGAAATGGAAATCTGACCCCTGCAGTTGTAGCACCTTCCATTCACATACATCCAATCTTTCTGTATCTCCTCCTTATCCCAATTACTTCTTACTTACTGTTTTCGGCCTTTTGTAATTCACTACAAAAATACTGTAAAGCTAAGAATACATGAAAGCAGTCTCAGTCAAGTACCTACTGGGGTGAGAGAAAGTTTGTGAACCCTTCAGAATTATCTAATCCTGAAGTACTGTGGCATACAATTTAATCAGGGCTTCACCTCAAATCTATTTTAACTACATTCTGGTTAAACAAACATCACACAATATAGTGTATTTTGCCATATTTTTATTGAAAACACTGTTGGAAAAAGTATGTAGAACCCTGCCTCTCTTAAAGGAGTCAGTGGTGTGACCTGAAGCAAAACAGCCCCAGGATATCAGTGAGTTGAAGCAGTGAAGTGGAATGGGTCAAAAGACTGTCAAGTCAACATGCAGGACTGATAAACAGACATAGGAAATGTTTAACTGAAGTTACAACTGGTAAAGGAGGCGTCATTAGTTACTAAACGTAAAGCTTCACATAATTTTTCCAACAAAGACAGTGAATGCAAGCTTGATGTTTTCAGTAAGATGGGGGTGTGGGAGCGGGGCAGGGTGGGGTGGGGTGGGGCTAACCATGGGAAAAAATTGTGTATTGAACTGACTGCTCTCCTGAATCAGCTGTATTACAAACTTAGCTGTTCAATTTTGGCTAACAATTTCAGTGGCTGATAGGAATAATTGGCAAAGATGTCTAGGGCTGTTCAATTTTGGCTAACAATTTCAGTGGCTGATAGGAATAATTGGCAAAGATGTCTAGGGCTGTTCAATTTTGGCTAACAATTTCAGTGGCTGATAGGAATAATTGGCAAAGATGTCTAGGGCTGTTCAATTTTGGCTAACAATTTCAGTGGCTGATAGGAATAATTGGCAAAGATGTCTAGGAAAGGAACTTCACAAAGAGACAAAATAAAGGCATACATGGAAGATTCAAAGATAATTGAAACAACACCCCCTCCAGTAACAAAGAAGAAATGGAGGAGGAAGAAAAGGAACTCTAGAGACTAAGACTGAAAACTAAACATTGCTCTGGCTGAAATCAGGATGTTGACCTATTGAACAATTAATTCAATTATCAATCAAACTCATGCAGGAATTAAAACTAGAATCAGATGAATCAACAACTGTGCTTTGTAAAGACTTTGAAGGTATGTCTGCCCGTATTAAAAAGCAATATTCTATGATATAACTAAACAGATTTCAGAGATTACTCAGACAGCGATGCTTATGATACCGCTATAAAAATGAGTGTGATATTGGAACAAATTAAAAATACATTATTTTTCCATATTCATAAGTGAATAAAGATAACCAAATATCTTTGATCCCAAAAATTACTATTAAATTATAATAAATTGTAGCTTTAATCACATTTTGTTTTTTCTCTTCTGAGTGTATGTACTATGTATATATGTGTGTATATACATGTATGTTTATATATAAATACTTTTTTCCTCAAATCTTCAATAATTTTAGCAGTATTAGGGTATGTATAAGGTCCTTATAATACATAACCTTTCATTATATATTGCTTCACAACCCACAAGTGAAGTAACATTTAGCTCAAACTCTGAGAAATTACTTCAAAGAAAAAACTGCAGAGCAAACATCTTTCATAACAAGTTGGGATGCTATGAAAGCTGTAATAAGAGGCAAATATATAAGCCAAATGAGCCGGCAAGTAGAAAGAAAAAGGAAAAAGTTAGATACTTTAGAAACTGAAAAAAATTCAATACAACTTTTCAAAACAAAAATTCTACAAATTTGATAATAAAAATTCAAGACTGTTGGCCAATAAGTTTAAATAATTTTTAAAAAATTATTAGGAAATAAGATTTAAAAGGCCAGATTATTATTAATACTTAAGATATTAATAACAATTTTGCTGAACTTTTCAAAGCATTATATATTTCTATCAACCTAACAGCAGAAAAGGTTGGCAGATATTTAGATAAATTAAACTTACAAAATTATCTTTAATGGATGTACAATATCTTAACTCCCCTCTTTTCAGAATCAGAAGATACATAATTTTTTTAAAGTATTAAAAATGGTAAGTCCCCAGGTCCAGGATAATTTTATGAAGAATTTAAAGAATTTTTGATACTGGAATTTTTGTTAATGAGTAATTTCTTGTGCAAAGGACCTTCTCACCCATCAACAGGATGAACATTCAAAATAACTTTAATCCCCAAACCAGGTAAAGACTTGCAAGAACTATCCTCTTATAGACATATATTTTTACTTAATATCAATTATAAATTATATACTAAGATTTTAACTGTCTAATTATAGGAAAAATGGTATATCTCATCCAATCAGGATTTATCCCTGAAAGGAATCTATCAAGCTCTTTTTGGAAACTGTTGAATATAATTAATTATTGTAATAATAATCCATTATCTTTATCATTGTACTCACTAGATGTTTTCAAAATTTTTGACTGTGTTAAAGGAACTTTTTTAGAGCAAACATCACAGAAATTTAAATTTGGCAATCGTTCCTTAAACATGATACTTCAAATTTATATCTATACTTTTGCTCAGATAAGAATTAATAACTATGACTCAGAATGATTTATACTTTGAAGAGGCATAAATCAAGGTTGCCCTTTATCATCACTGCTATATGATTTTCTTATAGAAACATTAGTGGTAGCATTGTATGACAACAAGAAAATTAAAAGAATTAAAATAGAAGAAGAAAGTTATCTTGGGCCTATTACTCTCTCTCAGCCCTAGAAAGAAGGCAATGGCAAGCCATTTCCAAAAATCTTGCCAAGAAAATGGCAGAGACTTCTCCAGACAGTCACCAGGAATCAAGAATGACTTGAAAGCACCATAAAAAAATTAATAAAAATCTCCCCATTATCCTCTTTGATGGTGCATCCTGATTTTTATGATTCACCTAGAATAATCCCATTCAAGCTATGGAGAAAATGCAGTTTATATAGGATAAGAGATTTTTATTACAACAATTTGTTATTTAGTAAGGTAGATACAAAATCTAAAATAGGTCACCAGATATCTTGATTAATGTAGATTACTGTAACTTAAATTCTTTTGGAATGAGAAAGTAACAAAGAAATAGCAAACCGTTTTTTTACTAATTTCAATAAATGAATAACGTTGTGAACTTGCAACATTGTTGGAATATTTTTTTTTAAAAAGTAGACAATAAACACATGATACAGTACACTGTCTTATGTATTGTTCACTTAACCAGAATCACTTTACCTATTAATAGGAGGTAGGTGAAGTTATCATCACATTATAGCTCACAGTAGTACAGAATTACAAAGCTTTCTAAAGAGTTCACAACATTTTTCTTGCCACTATATGGTATTTCCCCAACTGCCACTTAGATCAACTGAAGTCAGGTGGTGTCTTAAATAAATAAATAAATAAATAAAATGAAGTCAGACAGGAAGATAAAAATAGGAGGTCTAGAAAATTAGTAAGTTTAGTTTAACAGCTAAGATGTTGGGCTAGAAACTAGGAGATCTGAGTTGTAGTCCTTCCTTAGGCATGAAAACTCTCCTAGCCCAACCCACCTCATATGGTTGTTGTTGTGGGAAAAGTAGAAGGTGGGAGCATTAGGTCTGTACGAACCCTTGAGTTGACCAAAAACAAAGGCAGGATAAAAGTCAAATAAATAAATAAATTCATAGATTACATGACATAGGAAAGGAGAAATAAGTTTAGTTAAAAACTCTTTCAACTGCTAAGGAAAGCATATCATAGCAGTCCAGCTAAGCAAATCCAGAAAAAGATATTTGAATATACTTGAAGTTAATGAAGCAAGAAAGTTAGCTTTCCTCCACAAAATTAATCCAGTCTATGAAGAGAGAAAATATTCAAGCTTGGCAGATCTGTGTAAACACTAAAGTAGGAAACCTATCAAAACTTACAAAACTGACAACTCAGAAAACAAAATATGACAGAGTAAATGGGAAAACTGGGGTCTGATTTATTTGCATATAACCAGTATCCTCTCTTTGAATGTACCCAAACTTCCACAGTTGTAGCAATCCAGAATAATTATTGTCTGGGAGTAGAGATTCAGCTGCTCTAGTAAGCTCTGTCTGCTGTCATGCCTTTCAGTTCAAAGGTTAAACAACTTGGCAGTAGAGCTGAATCTGCCTCAAAACTGATTCAGAACAAGTGCTCTGTACCCACCATTTTCCAGGCTTCCGTGCCAACAGTCAGGCTGCTTTAACAAATAACAGAGGCATGCTGTGTTCAGCTTCTAACCTTCCTCTGATAAAAAATGCATACATGCAGGCAATACATGGTCCAGCCTTTAAACTCACTTTGGGGTCTCTGTTGTTTCCAGGAGCTCAGAATATTGTGATGCACAGTGCTAGAAAGAAGCACATACATTTCTTAGAAAACAGTCACTATAAACCACACTAAGAAAATAATGTTCCAACAAAAACTTGGAGTGGCATATAACACATTTTCCAGAGTACAGATATTCCCTAATAGTTGGGGAAGAGGACATACTTTCCTGACAACCTATATGGAACCTTCCTTGTATGCAGCTACCAGGCAGACATGGTGATTGTAGTTCTGGCACCATTAGGGCCAGACCAAAGATGCCATCTCCAGAGAACCCCTAAAATAGTGCTCTATTAATGATAACTATTACAATGTCTAGTTTTTTTCCTTTATATTTTACAATGTGAGCGTGCTGTGGAGCAAAGCTCCAGACAGTTTAACCTGCAATCTTTGTTTCCTAGATATTCACAGTAAGTCTCTTGAGCAGACATTCCCCAATAGTAAAACAAAAGGCCATTATTATGTACAAATATAAGATTTAAGCTTCTTACCTTCTGAGAAAACCAATCCGGTGGGCGGCCTGGTTCTGCAAAGGGTTTAATAGCTCTGCTGACAGATACCCTACAGAAATAAGATGGTTGTAAGATTTTCTTTCTCTTTATAGGAAATATATACTAGGGATGATACAATGTTCACTACACTGGGAAAATATTAACATATAAATAACACAGTATTTTTATAAAATACATTTTCAAATACATTTTAGTTTGTATTCCATCCCCAGAACAATCAAGGGCCAAATATCTATTCATATCTGAAACTCATTGGGTGACATTGGTCAATTATTCTCCATCAGTCTAACACATCTCACAGTGTTGATGCCAGGATAATTACAGAAGAAAACCACTGTAGGTAATCTGGATTATTTGGGAATAAAAGGGGCCATAAATGTAAACAATAATCATCATTTCCTCTTGCTCTTTTTCCCTATTACACAAGACCAAGTTGAATAAAACTATACAATATACTTCCCAAATGTCAATTGCATGAATTTTAGTAATTCCAGCTTCAGACTTGTGTCTCATTCCAGAAGCAGAAATCTTGTGTAAATAAGATAAGAGTGTCAAAGGTGTACAATTTCTAGCTGGTTCCAAAAATTGTGGCTATGTCCCTTTTCTTTTCACTGACTTCAATCTGTGCTTCTGAATTTAATCAGAACAAGTGCTTGATCACTTTTTAACTAAAATATGAGGCTGGAAAGTACATGATTCTGTTGATTTGGCTATTCTGCAGCTAACAAACAATATCTCCCTTTTCATTGTTATCAGTACTAGAGGGGATTGCAGGTTTTACACAAAGGTACCTCAGATCAAAACAACCCAATAACTCCCACTTTGAAGTTGCAGAAAAAAGGGGAATATTTATTGCAAATGATTTTAGCAACCTCTGGAGTGTGAAAGTTGGGAATAAAAGACATTTCTCCTTTCGTTTTCATCAAAATACCTATTACTAATATTGAGTTACATTGTAAAATAATTTAATTATTTTATTAAAATAATACTTAATAAAAAGGGTATTGTAATGTGGCTTACTATACATAAAGTATATTATAGTGCATTGGTTAATATTAGGGATACTGCATCCTGCTTCTATGTAGTGGTTCAGACTAAATTATTTTCTATTCCAGTGATGCTACCATTCTCAGATGTTAGGGTCACTGACAGCATTCATATTTATCTGGTATTGAGAACAATAATGATCACAAATCAATGTCCAATTCTGCACCATGCACACCACTGAAAAGCATGCGCTGATATCCTAAGCCATTATCTAGAATACAACTAGGCAGCAAATGTTTGAATCCATTAGCAGTATTTCTCTCACCAGTTCTGGTCCCCACTTCGCATGACAGAAGAAGCCAAGCACAGCTTCTCTCGAACAGACCACGGTTCCGTGGGGCCAGCATTCATCAACTTGTGTTCTAACAGGGGGAAAAAAACCATAGTATTGCAGTATGATGAGTTAAAAGGCAAATTCTACATTCCTGATCTACCTGAAGAGAAAACGGATACAATTATCTGGAAAAATCTGGCAAAACACTTCGCAAACAAATGGTTTCTAGAAGGGTCTGGGTGGGAAAAGGCAAAATCCCCGCGCCCTTAAAATGCGTGCAACAGACAGATTCAGGATGCAGCTTGGCTGTACATGAACCGCCGCGAGTACACAGCTGCGCCAGATGACCCGCTGCTTCTCAGAAATGCAGGGCAACGGGCATCCTAAGACATAAAAAGGAGGCTCTGTTACATTCGACGTTGCAAGAAAAAGACCATTACTCACTACCCGCTCCGGCCGCCATTTTCGCGAAAGGACGACGGAATCCGAAGCTCGCCACGAATCGAGTTCGAAGAGTTACGTCGCGCCTCTTCCCTCAGAGCGATAGGCGGTCCGCTCTATCCGAAGCCTCTTCCTATTGGTTGATTGAGGAGAAAATAAGGTGGCCGGAAACCATAACGTGTTTCATCTCTATGGTTGGTTTCCAAGGGGTTGCCGCTCTGGACACAAAAACGGAAGTAGGGTAGCAGAGAAAGAAGCGGCACGTGGGTCTGCGTTTCTCGAATTGCGGCCATGGGTCGAGTCAAGCACCAGGAGTCAGGGGAAGCGCCGGAGACGGAGGCAACCCCGGAACGGTCGTACCACGAGCTGGTCGAAAACGTAAATGCTATTGCGCGGCCGCTAGCCTCCCGGAAGCTCACACGCAAACTCTACAAGTGCATCAAAAAAGGTGAGTGCGATTGGTGGGTAAATCCTTCCTGGGTGGCTGGGATGGACGCTGCTTCGAGGCTTTACTGCCTCTTGGGGAATCTTCCTGAAAGCTCTCGCGTTTATTTTACAGCATCGAAGCTTAAACAAATCCGGCGAGGGGTGAAAGAGGTCCAAAAATTCATCAACAAAGGCGAAAAAGGGTAAGAGCTTGTGATGCTCCGGGCGGTGGAATCTACTTTTTATGGGGATAATCTCCAGATTTCCGCTTAAAATAACTCATAGCGTGTTTTGGTCTATGCAAACCTTTTTAAGTCCTTGAAAATATAAATGCTTAAGTTAGCTTTTTCTATGCAATGTTCACAGAAACTAATGTAGTTTCATTCTAAGCAAAACTAGATACATACTTTTCTGTGATCAGTGGTGATAAACAACTTGAGATTTTGCTTTGTTTTGAAATTTGTTTTACTGGTCCTTAATTTCTAACCATGTGCTAAAATTGCTTTATCTCATAGAATCACAGTTCTTGCAGGAGACACATTGCCTATTGATGTTTATTGCCACATCCCTATCATGTGTGAAGACAGGAATCTTCCCTATGTCTATATTCCATCTAAAACGGTAATAATTGGTTAGGGGAAATAGATTTTCTTCCTTGTGATCCTTGAGAAAGTACTGAATGTATGAGGATTCAATAGAACTTTGTCTCACATGATAATTTTATTTTCCTATATAAGCAGAAACAAAGTCTCAAATACTTAGATATAGATACTTAGTTTTTCTCAGAAACTGCTACTTATCTCTATTCTTGAAAGTTCATGACTTGAATATGTCATTGATTACTAAATGCCCCCATAATGTTGTTTATGAGCAAATTTATACTATGCCATTTTGTATCTTTTCAGTTAAGTGATTTAAATATATAACAGGAACGGAGTATAATAATATTAGCATTCAGAAGTTGGGACTCTTATCATACTAAGCTAAATTCGTTTTATAGATGGCTTGCTAAATAATACATGATGGCTGCATTCATACAACAGACTGTCATAAACCACAATTTTAAATAAATTGTAGCTTAGTACAGTGTTTGAATCTAGCCAATGAGTAAATATTACATATTCAAGCAATAGGTCCTAACAATGCAAAAAGTAGTTTTAGCATAATGTACTACTGTTGAATAAGAAACGAATGCATGCATTTTAATAAAAGAGCTATAAAGCGTAAGTGTGGTATACTTATGTCATGTTTAAAGACTTCAGTACCATATTTTTGTTAATACCTTGGTGTTTGGGAGGCCAGTTAATATTGAAATCCCTGAGAATTATTTCCTAGCATGAGTTCAGCAGTTGAAACTACAGGAGAGTGGTAATTTAAGAATTTACTGCCAATAATCCCCATGTATTTTGTCCCTGCAGGTGCCATATCAAATTTTAAAGCTGTTTTAATTTTTTTACATAAGGTTTGTAAATATGGATGGTCATACAAAGCTGTAGGAATCCCTAATATTTCTTGCTTTTAAATTATTTATGGTAAATTTTAATAACTTAGCAAGGTCATATTGCCTCACATCAAGCGTTTGAATTCTGAAGTATTATGTAAGCCTTGTGAAATGATGTTCCCAAGTTGTTGAAATATGGCTTCCATTTCTTAAGTTGTTGCAGTGCTGTTGTCGAATTAACCTTCATAATAGGTAGATCTTCACCCTGACAGGGATTAAATCAAATTTCTAAAATAGTAGATCTGTTTAGTTTCCATCTTGAAATACATGTGAATGTTCTGCTATGAAAAAAGGGAGACCTCTTTGTGTGATCCAGGGAACTGAATCCTATTTTTTCTGCTTTCAGGATTTGGGAGCAGCAGCAGGTTCAAAACGTCCAACCTGCGTTATCATGATAAAGGCTCATGAGGAATATCAGGAAGCTTACAATGAGTGCTTGGAGGAAGTGGAAGCTCTTCCTCTCCCTTTGTGAAAAACATGAATGGCAGATACTGATATAACTGGGTTCTATCTATAGGTTTTATGTGGTTAAACTTCAGTTTCGTGCCAGTTGTGTATGACAGTTGGTCTTGGTTGGTGAGGTGAGGAATAGATCAAGTGACCTGTTGAGAGCCCAAGAACTGTAGCAGCTGTGCTGTAATCATCTGTTTTTGAACAGATTTAGTGCAATTCTTGCAGTGAAATTTTGTGTTAAAATACTGCTACATGTTCAGCTCTGAAAGAAGTCTAGAGGGATCATTAAAAGATTTGTAGATGTATTGGTATTTTCCAATTCAATATACTATAGCCTTAAATATCACACGATCTTTCTTGCTTACTCGGAAGTATCTTTTCAAGTTGTGTTCCCTCTCTGCTTGGGGTAGAGAACTTTTCTTGCCTGATTGCATGCTGTCTTATACACATAGAAATGCTGTTGAAAATTAAAAATCAAATGTCATCTATAGCCTCTTTATTACAGGACACTGTTATTTCAGCTCTTGTTAACTACGTCATACTGTGTTGCAGAAGCAATTATGAAGCATTCTCAAAAAACAGCCCCAGGCCAGCTAGGCTAAGATGCTTTATACAAATGAGTCTTACTTTGAAGGTTTGAATATAATTTTGTAGGTATCACATCATATGGCAACATGCACAGTAAAGGAAAAGGAATTGATTTGTTTCTATGTCATCTGCTGCCTCCTTTAGACACATGAAACGCACAGGATTGGACAGAATTGAGAACTCATGCTGCAAGATAAAGCCACTGGCTACTCTCAAAGTCTATGGCGGCAATTGATTTCTCAATTATCCTTCCTCCAGGTCAGTACAGATCTTTGTTTCAGAAAAAGGCAGCCCCAGTTTCTAACTTACATTTTGTAAAATGCAAGTTATAGACACTAGTTCTTAAGGCCTCCAAGTTACAATAATGCTGTCACTCTTCCAAATTATTTCTAAAGAGCTGTAATTTCTTTCTTTGAGGAAATCTTTAAGATTATTTCACAAGAATACCAGTCCCATACATTAGGGTAATCTATGCCTAAGGATGTGATATTAGCATCTCTAAAGCAGATTTAAGATACAAAATGCAACATTTTATTAGAGGCTGTTTAGCACCAAACTATTCCATTACTTATACAGGTTTTAATTAATGTTACCATATTTAAATAGTACATGCTCTGATGCTATGAATTGTTTACATAAGGAAAAGAATTGGTCCTCATATATGTATATTTATTACTGTCGATATGTTATCCTGTACCAGTATAGTGCTTATAATAAGTTGACCCTAGTGTTTTTTTTCTCTGCTTACATAAGTAGGTTATTATATATTTGTATTCAGATTTTTTCCTAAGGAAACATTCAATTTTATAATTACTGCTTTTTACTGTCTGAACTATATTGTATATGGAGGCTGACTTAAACAAAATGTTAAGGAACATCATTAAGCCTACAATTGTCCTCATTTCCATTCCAATTTACTTTAAAGTTTTCTTCAAATCAGGAGTAAACTGGGTTCTACACATGCTTTTCTTTACCTCAGATATATTGCATTTTTCTGAAACACATTTTCAAAAACTCCATAATCTGTAAGCATTAAAAGTGGGGATAGCAGTTCCACGTACAGTGCTTGTGGTATAATCCAACAAGAAATAGAACTGTGAACAGAGAGGGGTAAACTCTTCAACAGGAGCAGTGCCTGTTGAAGCCCCCAGGATGAAGCCTCAGACAGGCAGAGAGAGGAGTACGTGTACAGAATATTGCGTTGTCTCCTCCTGGAAAGTCCACTATACTAGTCAGCTTCCATAGTATAGCAGCTGTTGTTATTAAGCAGGACATTATGGAGTTCTGCTTGCACACAACTGCTGTATCTGAAGAGCCCATTTCATAACAAGTCTTGCCATTATCAAAAGATGAGGCGTTTTCCATCAGCTGGATTTTGTTCCATGGGGCAGTATGGACACTTCAATCTGCAGAATGTAACAAAAAAGAATCAAATCAGGGCTTTGGAATCCTCATCAGGAACTACTTTTATAACAAATATGAAGATAATCTGCCCCACACTCCTGGGAAACTGGCAGCAAGTTCTGTTGTATGGAAGTGTGATGTAGTTATTGGACCTATCAGGAATGATAGGTCAAGTCTGTCCTCTGTCATAGAAGCTTGCTGGGTGACTTTGGGCCACTCACTCTCAGCCCAATTTACCTCATAAGTTTGTCATGAAAAATGGGAGCACAACTATGCTGTCTTGAGTTCCTAAAGGGAAAGCAGGATAGAAATCTTAACGTAATATTCACCAATTTTGTTTCTATTTTTGACTCTGTTAATTTTGACTTCTATTAATTTTGACTGTTAATAAAAAAGAATCTGGATTTGGTCCCAGTAATGTCAGTTAGTCATCCCTATTTTAGAAAATTAGAGGAGTGTTTCTCAGTCTCAGCAACTTTAAGATGTGTGACCTTCAATTCCCAGAATTCCCTAGCCAGCTTGCTGGCTGGGGAATTCTGAGAGTTGACGTCCACGCATCTTAAAGTTGCCAAGTTTGAAAAACACTGGTCTAGAGTTTTTATATCTAGAATAGCCTTGCCCAACAATTGAGCTGAAGGTATCAGACACAATGCAGCTATAATATATAGAAATAAAATGAAAGTGAGTAATTTGCTTGGGAAGAAAAGATTTCCTAAATCTAGATGGTATTGCATGTATAAGTATGGGATGAATAAAGTACATGATCTAACTGTAGTAGAGAATGGAAATAGTTCAGGCAATATCCACTAACCCCATAACTTTCATTGAGATAGCAAGATTTGATGAGAATCACTCACTTCCCTCCGTTGATAAGCTTATTGAGGGCATCTCGAGAAATAACATGTCCGCAAATCAACTTGATAGGTGGATTGGAATCTGTGGTCTGTTGGCGTAGGATGGGACATGCAAAGACTGAATGATACCAGCATTTCATCCCTAGCTCAACTTCAATCTGTTAAGCAAAGAAAAGTTAACTGTAGCCTCTAGCTGTCTTAATTATTTTCTTCAGCAATCATCCAAACCCATCCTATAGTTCCTTCCCCAGAATGGGTAAGTAACTCACAGGCAGCTCATCCTTGTGGCTCCAAACACCTGTGCACTGTCTCTGCTCAATCACAGCCTTGATGTTCATCAGTACTGGCAGTGCTACACACCCTGCGGCAAAGCTGCAGAGACAGAATGCTCAGCGCTGCCCAGTACTGCCCCCAGTCCCACCTGTATGAACCTTTACCTGACACTTAGAGGTGACTCCACTGAGAGACCCAGCAAGGCACATGCATCGTGAGTGAAAGTCTCGCAAATCTCTGTCCAATGACTTTCATCCAGTAGATGCCTATATGGAGAGTTCTGCAGGCCTAAGCGTAGGTATACCAGACTGCCCATCATCACTTGAATCTCTGTTTAGCAAGATACAGGAAGTGCTGCTTCAGTGAACAAACTTTCACTACAACCACCTAGGCCTATTTCAGAATGAATTGTAAGAAACCAGCGTCAACTCATAAATGAACAGGCTGAGGAAACTATTCCTTTGTTTTCAGTCAAGGAATTCACCAAGGCCTCCTGTACTAAAAGTGGGTAGAAAAAGCACAGAGCCCGGTTTCTGGAATTTTTTTCTACCCCTTCACACCAGCTGTGCTTGGTCATGTGACCAGGACAGAGGAAGGAAAGGCTTAAAAATGGAGCAGCTGGTAGCATTCCACAGGGCTGTCCAGCTGCTTCTCCCATATGGATGCATTAGGGGAATGTTTTCTGAAATGCTTTTCTTCAAAGGCCCAAGGTGAATCAGTCCACTTTCAAGCTTGATCTTTCTTTGGCCAGCTTTTCCCACCATACCAAATTTGGTCCTGTTTTTTTCAGTTCTCAGAAGATTATCCTGCTGAGAGATGAACAGGCAGAATCCCTTTACATAATCTCTTTCCAATATCCCATGGGGTTTGAAAGAAAAGGGAAGAAATGAGACTTCAACATTCTTTAGCTTTAACAGAGTTGTTTGAAGCAAGACTCAGAAATGGAACCCACCGGTCCTGGCAACTATAAGGAAACATTACCAAAAACAATCCTAATACGTTGGTTAATTTATTTATGTTAAGGACTCTGAGCAGAGCATTAGCCCAACAAACCTAGGAAACTAGTATCAACTCATGCCAAGAAAGCAAGAACAAGTGGCACAGAAGGTTTTTGGAAACAGCCTCACCTTGCTGGTGTAGGTGGGCAAAGGGCTGGAAGTGACGTGCATAGCTCAGGGCCTCCAACTCCTTGCCTGGGCCACCAGAAAGAAGCCTGATGAAATGGAGCCGATGCAGCTGAAACTCCAGAGTGCTGTTCAGATCAGCCAGCTGTTGCCTGTGGAAGATTGCCCAGCTGGGCAAGGTATTATATTCCTCAGTACCAGAGTCTATAAAGGAGCTGCCCTTGGAGCAATTATCATAAAAGAGAAACATGGCAATGTTCCAGTCCCAATTACATATTTATGAACAATTTAGCTACAGGAGGTTATGAATGGTGGCAACTTGTTGAGTGCAAACTCATAGCAAATTAAAGAAATATACTAGATTTCATAGATGAGAAACAAAGCAAGCACAGCTTCAGGGCTTAGCTAAATCCAAAGACTGTTGCTAGTCCTCGCAGTGATAGGTTTGGTGCCTCATGAGGAACATGATTATGCCACAGGACCATTTGAGTAGGAAGTAAAAGAGGAACATGGTTACTAAACTAAAATAATTTGATTAGGAAATACAGGAAAAAAAAGAAACAGGATCCCCAAAAGGAAAATAGTGCACTGTTCTACAGTCTTACCTCAGAGCAGGTCCCAGGTCTTGTTTGTGCAGAGCTTCCAGAATGCTGTTCAGTTCCAGGAATGGCTTTTTGAAGTCTACATCCACATTCACAGTTGATTCCTGCAAAGCAAAAACCAGAAGTTGATTGAGAAACAGATTTGTCTTGCCCTCTCCTGAAAATAAAGGAGCAGACAGAGAGTCAAGTAAAGATTATCCATCCATTTCAGACTGGACAAAAAAGGTGCACAGCAGAAGAAACTAACAGGGTCAAGTGGCTTCTCCTGGTACTGTAGGCAAGAAATAATGTTTCTCATGGGCAGAATTGCACAGCCAACCAGAAGCATAAGCCAAAAGGTGTAACACAATGTAGGGCTACAACCATTAATTACTATACAGGTAGTCCTTGCTTACCAACTACTTGTTAAGTGACCATTCAAAGTTATGACGGTGCTGAACAAGGAGACTTACAAGTGGTCCTCAAAGTTGCAGCCATCACAGTGTCTCCATGGTCACGTGATCACTATTTGGGCTCTTGGCAACCAGCACACATTTACGATGGTTGCAGTGTCCCGCAGTCACATTACTGCCATTTGCAACCTTCACAGCAGGCGTCCAACAAAGTCAACTGGGAAGCCAGCAGGAAGTCACAAGTCATAGTCACGTGACATTGTGCTTAATGACCCACAGCCAGAACCGACATCGTAAGTCAGGCATGGTCACATGACATTTCACTTTATGACCATGTCATTTAGCAATGGAGTTGCTGGTCCCAATTGCGGTTGGTGAGGACTATCTGTATACCATGCAAAGATTTTTGTCTCTAAAAAGGCTAGTACCTGACACAGTTCTTCAGCTACTCCCAGCATTCCTTGTTGATAGAGGTGCTCTATAATTGCCAACACCAGGATCTGTTTCTCTTGGGATTCCCAGACCAAAGCAGGGACAATGCCACACAAATCAGCATCAAAATTCTGAAACAAAAAATTAGTCAACTGTTCACACAAGTACTAAGGGAAATCTTTTTGTCAACCAATATTCCAGATTCCAAAGGCCTATTTCTCATTAGCACTGAATGCAGAATGGGCTGCAAATATAAATTAAGCACTATAGTCAGATAATAGGTATATTATACTGCACAGTAAATGGGAGGCTATACAGATAGTCTTCAACTTATGATCATTCGTTTGATGACCATTTGAAATTACAACGGCACTGAAAAAAGTGACTTATGATCTGTCCCCTCACACTTATGACCATTGCAGCTTCCCTGTGGTCACATGATCAAAATTCAGTTGCTTGGCAACTGGTATGTATTTACGATGGTTGCAGCATCCCGGGGTCATGTGATTGCAATTTGCGACCTTCCCAGGGGGCTTCCAACAAACAAAGTCAATGGGGGAAGCTGGATTTGCTTAATGACTGGCAAAAAAAAAATCATAAAATCAGGTGTGACTCACTTAATCACTTAGTGACTGAAGTTCTAGTCCCGATTGTGGTCATAAGTTGAGGACTACCTGAAGTGCTAATGCAATACATTTTTGTCAGTTAAATGTTCCTAATAATTCAGTCTTTAAAAAATGAAAGAGGAAAGTCAGATGATCCTTCAATCTGTATATAAGAAAGGAAGCAAAGTAACTTTATGCCATTTTTGCATGCTTAAAGATAAAGCAAATTATCATTCTGGCAATTTAAGGAAGAATGCCATGCCATTTATAATAAAAAACTAGGTAGTCCTCACATGAGATTGAAGCTCTCTCTTATGAACAGTATAATTTAACCATGTTTGGCATGAAAAGTTGGACATGTTTCTTTAGTGTGCAAAAATCTAGGAGATTCTCATTCACAGGCCCCACCTCATATACTTCTGCTTAATGCCCTTAATATTTTTACTCCCAATGATGCCTCACAACCAAATTCCTTCTTTATTAAACAATTTCTGTGAAGAGAAGCACACACATTACAATTATTTGGCATATAACAAATGCACAAATTTACTTTACATAATACCAGTAGTTCTCATTTAGTGACCACAAATGGGACTGCCAACTTAGTCATTAAGTAAAGTGGTCGCTTAATGAAACCGCAACCATGCTTATGATATTACTTCAGCTTTCCTTTGCTTTACAGACCTGCGAAGGTCGTAAGTGCAAGGATTGATCATAACTGTTGTAACTCTGAATGGTTACTAATGTGGCAGTTGCTAAATGAGGACTACCTGTAATCACATTTTGGAGAACTGTTTTCTTACATATATTTCTTGGAACATTTTTCAATCAATATTCTAGATTTCAGTGTAATATAAAGAAAATACAGTGTTTATGAAGGCTGAAAAAAGGACTTTCTCCAAGGGCTTTCTTGTCCTGCATCAAATGTATGTTTATGCTATCAAAGCACAAAATAATAGAACATGCATATTTCACTAGTTTATAAGCCTTTCAAAATGGACAACATGAAGTAAATAATCACTGGGGTAACATCTACTCCCATAGCTTCCAATTTAAAATCCAGAGTAATTTCCTTCTTGGTCCAAAACCCCCAACTAAGGTAATGGAGTTACTCACTCTATCAATTGCTTTGCCCACCCGGGAGATACTGCTGTGAATATCTTTGTGATCTGAAGCTAAATTCTGAACAGTGTCCTTGATCTTCTTACAGCATTGGGACATAACGAGGGAGAGTGTAGCAGACAGAGGTGCTCGCTGCAAAGCTATAATAGGAAAGACAATGGCATTTTAGTTTTGGGTAGCAGCTCAAGACCTTACTTAGTGCTTACTTGTAACTTTCATCTGACATAACTAGGTGAAGATATTTCAAGGTATCCTCACCTGCAGGTATTTCACATTTGGGGAAAGGCACCACTAGGTACCTAATTGAGTTCCATATAATACTAATATTTTCATGCTCAACATTTCCTCAGCTCCTGTTCACAAGTATCTTTCTTTCCCCCTAACATACACTTTATGGACCCAGAATTTGAACTCGTGGAAAGAAGACCTTTCAGAAATTCCAGCAAAACAAAATAGATAAGTTTAATGCTAGCTACTTTCAGCTTTGGAATACAAGTTGTGGAAATTAAGAGAGAAGACAGCAATGCAAGTGAAGCAGTTGTTGTTTCTTGCACAGAAACTCACACATGAAAGATTTATATAGTTTAAATGCAATTAGATATCAAAGTAATAGAGCAAAGCAGATACTTAAAAGTTCTCTACTATTTTCCCAGAACAGAAAGTGACAGAAATCCACTTGGTTTTGATTTAGGTTTTCACAAGAAATTATTTGAATATATCTCCAGTGTTCTACAATCCATCTGAGATAGTGATTCTCTTCTTCTAGGTCTTGAATGGCAGGCTTGCTTGTATGTATAGATAGCTCCTAATGTACTGTTAAAGTGTCTGTTCGGCAGCAGTGGTGACTCCTCTAAGAGATATTTAAGAATAAGCCTCTACAACAAACCCAAATATCAACTCTGTCCCAATAGCCTACTTAGGCAGCAGCTACATGATCTGGAACTCATCCACCAGTTTATTCTCTAGGCAGAGCTGCCTAACATGGAGCCCTAAGACTGTGTGTGGCTCCCAGAACTCCTGCAAAAGTTACTGCCTTAAGTATTTTTTAATTTAACAGATAGAGACAATTAGGAAAAAAACACTTGAAGAGGTAATGTCACTTAAGCTTATACATTAATTAGATCAAATGTAATTTGTTCTGATCACCCATTTTGACTAGTATAGCCCACAGCCTGAAAAACATTCTGTACTGCACCTCTAACACAGTGTATATGAGTATATATATGAGCACTTGTTAATAATCCCCTTTTATTGCCTTTGTAAGCAAACTCAACATCAGATATCAGGGAGGCTTTAAAGCAGCTAGTTTGAGGCTTCAAGGCTGCATGCACCCCCACCCTCCACACCTCTTGTTCTACCACAATTAAGAAAAACTGATGCCAGTTTCTCACCACTTTGAAGTGGGGAAAATATCTCTAGTAAGCCCTCAGATAGGCTTATTGTAGTGAAACAAGGTGAAAATGAAAAATTCTCTCTTGACCCCTGATAAAACATCCTGGCTGGAGCTATCTGTGAGATATAGCCCTTGCTAGTTAGTCTACATCATTGTTATCCCACCATGTTCCCCAGCCACCAAAAGTTTGCCCACCTTTTCTTTAAACAAAGACTGTCATGTGAAATTGCTGATCAGAGACCACCAGGAACTCCTGGGACCATAGGCTAGACAGGGAGGTTGAAAAAACATCCTGGAATAAGTCAATAGCAAACCACTTCTATCCTGTGGCCAAAAAAACAACATATAATCACCAGGAGTCAAGCTTGGTTAGAAGGACACTTTAGCTGTTTATAGAGATGTATAGCTAATTCAGATCTCAAGCTGAAGAGAACTGCATCTGCAGGGAGCAGTGTGTCAAAAAAGGCAAGATGGCAGAAGTGGTGTCATGATACCAACCCACCCCTTTTGTATACATGCAATATTAGTGCATGTACAAAAAGGATGGGGTTTGCATCATGATGCTACCTCCACCATCTCGCCTTTTTGACATCTCTTTACTGCATTTATATGGCTGCCCAACTCAAACAATGTAACTCTGGGTGGCCTACAAAAGAGAAAAGGAAAATCAAACCAACAAATGTACCATTAAAACCAAATAAACAGTAAAAGGTAAGCACAACTGAATCTACTATAACTCCTAAGAATGAGGACTCTATTCATTCTAGCCCAAAGCAGAAGAGCCAGGCCTTAGCTGTCTTCCTCAAGGCCTGCAGGATCAGAGTCAACTGTATGTTGAGGGGAAGATCACTCCAAAGGTCAGGAGGTGCCACTGAGAAGGCACACCTCCTGGGTCCCAATAATTGGCACTGTTTCAAGGAAGGGACCCGGAGTGTGGCCGGGTATGTGGTATATCAGAGTATGTGGGACAGGGAGATACCCTTGGGAGTAGACAGTTCCCCAAATAACCCAGTCCTACTTCATATAGGACTTTACAGGTGACAACCAGCATGTTGAATTACACCCAGAGCTCTATTGGGAGCCAGTGCAGCTTGCACTGTAGAGGTGTCACACGGGCTTAACAAGAAATGTCCATAACTACTTGCATCACTGCATACTGGACCAATTGCAGCTTCTGGATGGTGTTCAGAGGCAGCACATTGCAATCATCCAGATGGGAGGTGACTAAGGCGTAAACATGAGCAGGGCCCCACAACCCAGAAATGGGTGCAAACTGCACAAAGTTATGCAAAGACACCCCTGGCCACAGCTGCCACCTGTTCGAGCAAGATCTGTGAGTCCCAGAGGACCCCAAATTGTGCACTGAATCCAAGCAAGGCAGGACAAGACTGCTCAGAGTCAAGGATCAATTCTCTCCAGTTCTGGGATCTGTCGGGCCTAAAACACACAGCCACTCGGTCTTGGTAGGGTAGAGCTGAATCCTGTTCTTCCCCATCTAGACCCCTGCAGCCTCCAGCCAGCAGGACAGAGTCTCAATAGCTTCACTTGGATTTACAGGCGCAAAGATGTACAATTGAGTATCATCCGCATATTGATACTACACCTGTGCCAACAGATGACCAGCGGTTTCATGTAGATGTTAGATAATTTAGCTTACTGCATTGTGCAAAGTCAACATGTGGAATTACATTGTGAGTCCCATGAACCCAAAAAACTGTATGTAAACAGTAAGTATATCACCAGTAACAGCCAATAATTGGATCATTCATTCATTCAAATTCAGTTTTGGCTAAACTCAGAGAACATATTTAACTTATTTATTGAATTAACCCATTTTCTGGGTTCACCCAAATACTGGATTCACCCAAATACACTGACTCATAAACTAATTAAATGGGCTGGGTTCACATAACAGGCTTCACAACCTGTACATCTAACCAAGGCTAAACTTAAGGAAGGTGGTCAAATATTTCACTAATTTAATTAAGCGTATCATGCAAGCCCACTCAATCCAGTAAGCATATAACATAAAATCTCCAAGTGAAGCTCAACTTCCGACAATTTCTGGTCATCTCCGTGCTTTTTTTCTGGCAGCAATGTAGAGGTCGTTTTCCACTGTCTTCTGCCAGGATGCTTTTATAGCAAGACTTTCAAGGGTTTCCGTGTGGTCTCCCATCCAAGGACTAGCTAGATCTGGGTCTGCCTAGTTTTTGACGACCAGCTCGAAGGGGCTTATTTTCAAAGCTCAGACCACAAGCCAGACCCCACTCCGCTCCGCTCCGCGCCGCTGAGGGAAGGCGAACTCGCCGCCCTGCCTCGAGGCGGAGGCATCCGTACCTGCAGCGCCCAGCTCCTCCCTCAGCTGGCTGACGTAGCGCAGCAGCTCCTCCAGGCCTCGCTCACAATGCTGGCCGTAGCACAGGAACTTCTGCAGCACTTTGTCCACCTCCCTCTCTACGCAGGCGCACCGCTCCATTAGCCCGGCCTGCCTGACACGCTCTGGAGCGGAAGGAGAAAAGCTTCCAGTCAGTACAGTCGCTGACCTTTCAGGCGCGAGCCCGGGCGCGGGGCTGGGGTGAGGCGGAGGGTCCTCGCCGGTTGGGCGCCGGCAAGCGCTGACGAGAAGGACTCGAAGCGAGGCTAACCAGCCACGCATCCACCCCCTAGTTTAAGGAGTAGGGAGAGTAGCTCGGGGACAGGATTCTGCCAGTGTCACGGCTCACCGTGTGAATGCGGCCGCCACAAATTGACACTGTGGGATCCTTGGAGGTTTCTATCACAGACGAGCGATAGGTTAGAAAGACACCCTCCATACGCTGAATGGCACGTTCCTTTACTATTCGGTATGAGGGTTGGGTGGAGCCACTTTGGGAAAGAGGGGGGGAAGGGAAACTTAAAAAAAGCTAACCTGAGAACCGTGGAAAGAGACGTCAGTCTTCTTCAGTCTGGGAAAATAGAATAATTAATATTAATTAGTTTCTTTCTTGTCTTCTGGTGCCGTCCTATGTGGACCTAATTGCTAAAGTTCTCTAATGATGGAGCAAACCATTCTTATTGGGAAGGGTGTGCCTAGAATGAACTATAGGCTGCAACAGCTGATTGGGACAAACCATTTTTGACTTAGGTAATTTGTAAATGACGTATAGGTTTGGAGTGAACCATTTTATAGAGAGTTGGAGCTACAGTACTTGTAGGGTGAGAGTCCAACAGGATGAAATTTCAGCAAAAGTTTGATAGACTAAGACAACAACATGTCTAAGACATGGTACAGTATCAGTTAAAATGGATCAAGCCTTTCAACTTTAGCGCTCTCACTGGTGTTAGAGGTCCTGTTCCCATCTGCAGTTTGCAGCAGCAACAGCAGCACCACAGTGTCCTGAATAACTCCAGCCTTCTCCCTTTGTTACCCAATGCTGGTCTCATCGTATTCTCAGCCCATCATTTAAATAATCTTGTGTCTTACCTTTCTGTCCTGGAATAAAGTAGGTTTCCCCACCCCCTCAATCTGACAGTATCCCACCAAAATGTCATACTGTATAAGATAAACAGTGCCATCCATTATGTTGGAGTTAAATTCAGATTACAGTACCTGTCGTGTGCAACCAAATATGTGCTTTGGGTGTGGCTCTGCCATCCACTGTTTTGGAGATAAGATCAGATGACTTGTTACGGGTGTGCTCAAATTATGTTTTGGATGTGTTTGGAGGTACAGGCACTCCTCTCTTCTGGTCATTAGCCTTTACTGCAACTATCACTCCCAGCAGTTATCCTCTTAGCAATATGTTTACTGTCATCCTATGTTCCTTTCATCATGGTCATATTCCCCCACCCTATTTTGGAATCAGTATTTCTTCAGTATTCTAACCAGGTACAAAAAGAAGAGATAGGTTCAATTATTTTATTCAGAGAAGAAGTGGACCATATTTACTGTATGCAATTCTATATTTTTATAATTCCAAAATGCTTCCAGGGAACAATCAGCTTTCGCATTTTTCTCAGTGCAGCATCTGGAAAATCATGAGGGTTGTCAAACTGGGCATTTATTATTTGCCAGTTTCTTTGTGTGTGTGCCAATTTCTCACTTTCCCTGAAATAATTGTTGACCCAGGATCTAGTTATACAGTTCTATAGGACTTGGTTAACCATGTAATTATATCAGGGTCTCTCGCCCTACTTGCAACTATTTCTGGTCTGATGTCTCCCTGTAAGTGTTTAATTATTCTTGTCTGAATTAAAATATGCTGGAACTGCTCAATTCAAACATTTTTTGAGACAATTGGGAGCCTTCTTGGAATTTGCCCAAATTGGATCTGGAAGATAGTAGAGAGGCTTAGGGGTTGTCCCAAAGTTGTAGAATTACAATCCCTTTTATGCTGCACTGTTCGGGTTGGGGGATGTTTTCCTGCTGGCTAAAAATGTGACGACAGATAATAGCAAAGTTATAGGAAAAGACCAACTGGCATACATACATACATACATACATACATACGTAAAATTGGTATACTGTAGGTGCAAATCTGGACCATACCATTTAGCAGGCAGTTGCAACAGAAGAGCAATTGGGATTGGCCATGCTGAGAGCCAATTTTATGGTGGCATTATGTTGTACCAACATGAAGAGTGAAAAATTCTTTAGATCACTGTTGTCACTTGGTACTGCATCTTTTCTGGAATACAACTGTTAATTCTTTGCCTTAGGAAATTATTGAATTGTGTGAACCTTAAATATTTCTATTTTAATTATGTCTTAGTAAATATTCAGTTTGACTGCTGTAATATATTTAGTGTGGCCTTAAGGTCATTTTAGACACAATAGCTGTTCAAAATATGGTGGCTGATTTACTATCTTAGGTCATGAATACAAAGCACATTAGACCAATTACTGCAAGAATTACAGTAGTTTCCACTTACTTCCAACTTAAAGTATAGGTTTGGTATTGACCTTTATCGCCTTAATAGCCTAGGCCTGTGTATGTCATATATCAGACAATTCACCTATCTGCCTGCAGTTTCCAACAACTGAGAATTAACAAAACTGTATCCTGAGACAAGGTTTCTTACTAACATTTTGAGTTTCCCTCTTGTGGATCTATATGATCGGCCTTTGAAGAAGCAGTTATTGTTAAGTCGCTTGATGCTCTAAACATCCTGGTGTTTGTTGCATTTATTACTGCATTTTATGTCTTTTCTCACTCCTCTTTAGTTTGTATTTCATGTTGGAGCTGTACAATTGAAAAGTAGTATGTGTGTGTGTGTGTGTGTGTGTGTGTGGAAATAAGCATTTAAAATTAAAATGTATCCTCAGAACACAAAAGAAAATTAATATTAATTCCATTTAACAAAAGGAATTTAGAAACAAGGTAACAGTTGAATATACTTTTTGGTGGCTTGCTAATCTGATTTTTTTTAATGGATTTATAAATTTATTTATAAATATTGGTGTTATTTTTAAAATGTTTTCATCCAAAGCAAGAGCTGCCTTAGTTCCCTGTGCCCAAAGAGCTTGCTTTGAAAGGCAGTGTAGTAATCTTTTAAAATAAATAGTATTCTCAATTTGAATGTTTCAGAGGCTCACTATTATATTGCAAGATGCTTCTTATCTCAGACAGCGATGAGAATTCACTGTGCATAATAGAAACAATAGTAGGCATGGAAAACCTGATGGCCTTTGGCCTTGAATCCGCATCAACCCTAGTCAGCCTGGCTCATTGCAAGGACTGTGTGACTGTGGTCCATCAAATATAGAGAATACAGTATATATTGTATAGCCCTAGAGTAAATATGGCCATAGCTATGTATCAATTCAAAATTTTATCTACACTGTCATTCAGGGATTTAAAAAGTGGGGGGGGGAAGCCCCAATATCTCCAGTCCATGGCTAAATTCAGATTGTGAGACAATTAAATCTGGTTTTAATTATTTGATTTTATACATTAATCATATTAAATTTATAGCTTTTCCAGTCTTGAAATTCATTCTACTGTCAATAGAGTGCCCAGTGCCTAGTTGAATATTTTTCTCCACAGCATGATCTCTATGAACATGCAGGTTTCTTGTAGTAAAGTTGGAAATAAGGGCTTTAAAATTCTGGAGTCCAAGGGAAATGAGGACATTGTAGCAGGATGGAAACTAATGATTTTCCAGAATATTAATTCAAGAATCTAATGATGCTTTACATTCTGGAAAACATGAGGTAGTGGTAAATTTAACTTGTACAAAACACTTTTTTTTTTCCTGAATAGTTGTCAATTGGGTATTCAATACAAAAGGTATAAATATGTATCATTAAAGTACAGATGTTTTTCTCATATATTAGTTTTTCGTGTCATCAATAAATGTTTTCTTTTTTTTATCATGCCTTCATTTAAAATTGTGTAAAACTATTGAGAAAAATTCCTATATAGGTAGTCCTTGCTTAACAACCCTAATTGAGACCAGCAACTCTGTTGCTAAGTGAAGCGGCCATTAAACAAAACATCATGTGACTGCCCTGCTTAGTGACAGCAGCTCCGGCAGTCCCTGTTGCGGTCATTAAGCAAATCCACGGTTGTTAAGTGAGACATCACGTGACCTCGACTTGTGACCTCCTGCTGGCTTCCCTATTCACTTTACTCATCGGAAGGCAGCTGGGAAAGTCGTAAATGGTGATCATGTGGCCATGGGACACTGTTACGGTTGTTAAGCAAGGACTACCTGTACAGCAATTTGTCCACATAGAACAGACATTGACATCCCAGTTGTCAATGGAATTATACTGGAGCTTAATTAGCTATTTCAGTCACTAGGTATTACTAGAACTGACATAAGTAAATCTTCTATTAGACTATATTAGTGCTTTTATTAGACTACTACTTATATGAAAAGAGGGGAGAAATGATTGGAGACAAAAAGCTTATCATAGTCTAACCTTGGCTTGTCACAAACACATAGAATCTAAATCTTTGCTAGATATAAATAGCAAAAATACAAGAGATACCCACTACAGAGCTGGAAAATAAAGTAGTAAATCTGCTATGTCCTAAGAATCCCTAACAATACAAATGAAATGCACAAAAAACTGAAGAGCATGTACAAAGGAGATATATCAGACAAGGTTGAGACTCCCTGGTCCAGCTTGATATAAAGCTGTACCTTTGGGCAGAGAGCCAAGAAGGAAAAGCTGCTCTTACAGTCCTCTGGGAGAAACATGGGTCAGATCTGGATGGCTAGAAGAGTCAGGGTATCTGAGCTCACCAAGTGTTTTTGGATCAGAACTATAGAATTGCATCCTTCCTCATATCTGGCAGATGCCTGGGCTTCAGCTTCTTGGAGGGAATGAACCAGTCCTGTGGAATTCAGGAAACTGGTTTATCCAGCAGCTCTAAGAGGCAAATACCATTGTTCCTTTCTGTGACGCCTTGACTCTTCCCTGTGGCATCTGAGCAAGCAACTTGGTTTCTAGCTTAGCTGCCAAGTTTTGGTGCCGCCCTCCCTGGGTTGCTTCTCAACTCTCTGCAGCTCTAATTGATGGGTGGAAACCTGCTCTGGGGATTTTGGAGTGAGACGCCAACAGAGTTTTGGACTGGCGTGGGCACAGGGAACTAAACAAGAAATTTCAGCAACCAGCTGTCTTGCAAGAAAAACAAGCATTTGCGGTTTTCTGGGACCAGGAAAAAACCAACTGATTTAGTAGGAAATATATTCCTTGTCCAGCCTGGTGTAGTCTAATTTGTAGTATTTTTTCAGTCCCCTTTTATAATTTGTTAACCCAGGTCTGTATCTTGAAAATTACCCACATATACATAAGTAGATCCCTGAAAAAGGATTAAGCTTATAGTGAGAGTGAGACTGCAGTAAGGGTCAACAGTTTAGTGGACTACTAAATCTATTAAATGCTTCTGCTCCAGGATAATTTAAAGAAGATTTTGCAGCAAAGAACTCTGGTACAAGACTCAATTGTTCCACACCTAGTATGCTACATTCTCATCTGTGTTCCATCAAATCAGTTAATAGCCAGTAGATTTTCTGCTCTAGATAATGAAATATTAGTAGACAGTGATATCCTAAAGTTAAGAAATTTACCTCCAGATAGCATACTGATGATAACAAGTTATGTGAGCTCCAGTGAACATGGAATAAAACAAGATATGCAATCTAAGATTAAGGTGTCCCTGAGCTGGTCACTATCTTATCACCCCAAACATTTTTAATATAGGTTTTCATGCACTGTACTGTAATGGTAGTCCAAAAGCAGTAAGATATGAGGAAATTGACAAAATAGTTGCATTTGGAACATAGCAAGACAGTACTCTGCATTGATCAGTTACACCGATAAAGCTTCTGACTTCATGCCAGAGCTTTATTCTTAAGAACACACTTCCTTAACTTCAAATTTTTCAGATATACTGTACATTTAATATCTCTATACAGTACATACAACCTGATACCAGTTGGCTTGGGCAAGTCCAAGTCTATATGCAAGGAGGTTTTCCCTCATCACTCCAGGGTTTGTTTACCAGTAGGATATGCAAAGTTTTGTTTTAAAAGAGAGAAGCTGCAAAATGGTTGAAAACACCATTCATCCTCCTTTTGCTAGCTTGAAGAATATTCTTGGTATATGATTATTTTCATTTTCCATCCATGGATTCCCAAAAGTATCTCAAGATTATTTGTTATCATTTCCTAGCCCACCCTTCCCCCGAAAGGGGAAAACCCTCCAAGAGAGTATACATTGCTTCCTCTTTCTGAAAAATGCATGCCCTGATTTCTTGTTGTATTGACTTATCAGCTTTTAGAGTTTATAAAACAACATGCATCTTATCTGTTGAGAACATCCATTAGAGTACAAGTGCCAAAAGTATAAGTGCCAAAACAAAAGCATCATAATGGAATGAAAAAATAGTAATCATGGAGCCAGAAGATTTCGGCAGATATTTATTCAAATCATTGCCAGGTTGTGCTTCCATTTCAGTATTCATTATGTTAGCAAGAACCTTCAAACCTAGAACTGGGACACCAAGCAGCAACAGAACAAATACATCCACAGCTTCGTTCTCTTTATTATGGAGAAACTGACCATAAGCCAGATAACATTGTCCCATGGTATTTTGATGGCTGAGCCCAAACAGTTTGGCTTGCTTGTGCTTTTGTCTCATAGGCCAATGGAACTGGTGCAGCTGCTTCACATTCCATAGCCAAAGAAGGATCTCTCTTAGTAATTTACAATACAAGACCATATAACTACATTATAACCGGAGCTTTGACCTTGGCACAGCATGAGGGCTAGCCAGATGAATAGAAAACAATTGCTACAGAGTGGGATTCCTGATAAGATAGATGTTTTAAGCCTTTCCTTCTAGTACAGCAAGCCAAGTCTCAAATTATTAATGGACAAAGACTAAGCCTCAATATGGAATAACCTATGTATTCATTCATTTTCCCCACTGAACCGTATCAAAAGGGTTGGCCATAGCTCCCAGTTACAGCTAATTCACATTCCATAATTAAAAAAAACAAACTTCTGTATTGATAGGCAGTGCTAACATTGGCCCCATGCAGGATACAAAAGGAAAGCCTTTTGCTCTCCAACACAGCAGTGATATGGAGGCAACAGCCTACCTGGATTGACAAAAAGTTTCAGATGTAATGCTGTGATTCCATTCTGTGGACAGCAATCTGCAAAATCCTGTATGTTACTACAGGAAGAAACTTCTGGGCTTGGTTAACAGGCCCTTTAGCTTAGACATTTCTTCTACCAAATCTTATAGTCCATGTTATAGTATGGGGCTTCTGCCCATTTGCAATCCCAGCACAAGACCTTTCTCAAATATAGCTCAGATTTTAGAAGATTCAACTCTCTCAATCCAAGGTGATTCTGAATTGCTATCTCTGGATTCAGCTGGGAACTGCCGGAATTCACTCAGCTGTCTTTCCAGAGCCTGATTTCGATGATACATCTCCATGTAGCTGGCCTGAATCTCACGCTGATAGCGCAAGACTTTTTCTTTTTCCTCTTGCCAGGTTTTTCGCTCCTGCTCAAAGTTTACAGCTTGCAGTTGGGCCTGGCGCCTTTCCCGCAACAATTCTGCCCATAGCCACTCAGTTCCTTCTGTATTGTCACCCTGCATCCCCTGACATTTAGAATCATCAGTTTCACAACCCAAGAAGTCCTGGCATGCTTGCATGGGAGAATCCCTAGAAGGAATAGGGGAACCATGATCTGACAAGGGTTGGAAAGAGTCCCCCAAATGTGCCAGCTGTGAGTCC